CCCATATGTGAGGTTGGTGCAGCAGGCAAAGGCTTAGCCTACTTTGCCATGGTGTCAGCCCCTCAGCTCTTCCATTTAAAAAGGGGCTATTGCAATTTTTCAGCATATGCTTGTGAACGAATAAAATGAAAAAAAAAGTATTCATAATGCTTAACTATAGTGCTTTCAAGTAACTTGAAGGTCAAGGCAATTATTCTCCTCCATGTATTATTATACAAGTACTTATTGAGGAGGAAAACTGGAAAACCCAGATTTACATGTTCTACAAAACATGTCTCATAAAAACCCAAAGCTACAAACAGTTATTCCAGCCACACTCTAAACATAATGAACTTTCCCAAGTCTAAAGGGACAAACAAGTGATCAATTATAGGCATACTACTCACATTGAAAATGTCTTCTCATTGCCTAACACTGAGGGAGGACACTGTGGTGGAAATGGAGTAAAGACTGGAAGCCACTGCTACACAAAGGTGGGCCCTATTGTGTGTGTGTGTGTGTGTGTGTGTGTGTGTGTGTGTGTGTGTGTGTGTGTGTTAATCTGGCTTCTATGGAAGACTTCCTTTAAGCAAAGATAGCCAGATAGCTTTTCAGAATTATGAACAGACAGAACAAACATCTATAAAATACTGGCACTCACAAAACTATTATAAAAATCAAAGGATAACTTTATCAGTTTAAATCCATATAAAACTATATGACTATTACATTTCAAGTCATTATATTTTATAAGTCATTTTTATAACTACATTTTTAAGTCTGGTTTGTTTTTCAATATGGCCAAAAGAGGGATCGCAAAATTTTATGGAAATATACACTACGAAAAAACTATACACAGATTCATTTTAGTAGCAAAATATACTTACTTTTTAATTCTATTTTTCTATGAACTTTAAAAACTTTTATTTATTTATTTATTTGAGAGGCAAAGGAGAACAGACTGAGGAAGAGAGAGAAGACTATAGTAGGACTTTCAAGGGATCCAACCCTTCTTCTTTAGAAAATCCCAGGAAAGAACTGATGATAAATGCTTCTGAGCAAAGCTTTTTTTCTGGGCAAAGAGGGTTGCAAGAGGGATTTCAAAGAAATGCCAAAATGTACCTAGATGTCACTGTGCACTTCTGAGAACTACCATGAATTCAACTAGCTCAACTAAGGTAATACTGCTAGGGCAACTGTGGTTCAGGTGCATGCAGGAATGTGTAGCAAGTTGTACGGGCAAGGCTATCAAATCAAAATATCCAGTCAAAAATTAAATAACTGAATATGCATTATGGAACTTAACATTGCTTGTGCTAGGCTAACTAAGACAACACTCTGCTTTGTTTGGGGCCCAGAATGTGGATAAAGAACTCTTGTCTGGGCCTACCAGCATAAAGAATAAAGTTGCTTTTCCTACTGAGAGTCTTGGTGCATTCCATCTCTGTCTGAGTTTCCCACAATAAGATGGAAAGAGGGTCTCATCTTCCGGTTCATCCCCAAATGCCTGTAACAGCTGGTGCTTTGGCCAGGCCAAAGCCAGAAAACAGAAAAATCATTCACGTTTCTTCCAATGGGATGCAATAATTCAATAATCTGAGCATTGCCAAGCTGCCTCCTAATGTCCACATAGGCAAGTGCTGGAGTGAGGAGTCAGAGCTGAGAATGGAACTCAGGTATTCCATTACAAGACACTGGAGTGCTAATAGACTAAACACTTGATCCCTAAAGAGTATTTTTTTAACTACTAATAAGTTTTCATTTCATCTGAACCTTAGGACAGAACTTCATATAAAATCTAGCTACAATGCACTGACTGGATCTGAAGTGCAAAACGCCCTAGATTATCAGGAACCACAGACCTTCATCTCAGGACTGCTACTAATTAGCTGTGTAATTCAGAGCATGTAACTCAGAGTTTCAATTCTCTCAACTGTAAAATAAAGCAGTTGATTGAAATGGTCTCCAATTTCTCAGTTACCCTTTTATGAATATTTTCCCCTAATCTGTTGGCTCAAAGTACAGTTAGTCTTGATTACTAAAATATGACCTGAAATCCAATGAGGAACCATACCACATGGCAACCAGAAGATCAAAGAATTAGCAATACTGTTCAATGCCAATACACTGGCAATGAGCTCTCAAAATTTTTCTATTCCAAAAGTTGGAAAAAAATAGGTCTGAAAGTTTCCCTGGAAGATATCTCTTCCACTCATATTGGAAAAATACCAACAACAGGATCATTAAACCACACACCAATCCTGGAAATGGGTAGGAGTAACTTCATTTGTTCTAAAATTGTTTTAAATCAGCGACACATTAGTCACTCAGTAGCACATTATTAAATTCATGGCATGTTTTATTTCTTCTTTTCTTCCTGTTGTTGATTTTGTTTTGTGGCTTCTCTCTTTTTTTTAAGATTTATTTATTTATTGGAAAGTCAGATATACAGAGAGGAAGAGAGACAGAGAGGAAGATCTTCCGTCCGATGATTCACTCCCAAAGTGAACACAATGGCCGATGCTATGCTGATCTGAAGCCAGGAGCCAGGAACTTCTTCCGGGTATCCCACATGGGTGTAGGATCCCAAAGCTTTGGGCCATCCTCGACTACTTTCCCAGGCCACAAGCAGGGAGCTGGATGGGAAGTGGAGCTGCCGGGATTAGAACCAGCGCCCATATGGGATCCTGGCACGTTCAAGGTAAGGACTTTAGCTGCTAGGCCACGCTGCCGGGCCCTGTGGCTTCTCTTTTAAGAGAATCTACAGTAACTATGTAATAGAGACAATCATATCCAGTAGCATGTTATTTAACTTTATGTCATTTTTAGTTACTTTTTTCTTCCTGTTGATTTTGTTTTGTGGCTTTTCATTTAACGGGATGTATAGTAACTGTGTAATGGAGACTATCATATCCAGATGTGAGGATACAATGCAGTAGGCATCTCTACTTCCAGATCAAAGATGGACTCCCAATGAAACTGTTAACTATATATTGACAATAGGATGCTGGACTCTGCCATTGTCCATGCCTGCATGGATATATGACTGTTTATGATGAACAATATTATAGTAATAATATAGGGTTGGGGTGAGAACTTGGGAATGGCATAAGGGAAATCCCAGGGTTTATGAAACTGTATCATAAAACGATGATAATAATAATAATAATAATAATTTAAAAAGCATTCTAATGAGCAGGCCTATGAGAATCTTTGGAAGTGGGCCCGAAACCATCAATTTGAAATGTCGAGTCATCTTCTACTGCTTTCTGAGGTGCATTAGCAGGGAGCTGGATCGGAAGTGGAGCACCTTAGACTCAAATCCACGCTCATATCAGATGGCAGAATCACAGGCAGCAGCTTAACCCACTGTCAGACGCCAGTTCCAACTTACACTTTTTAAAATAATAGTTTTAAACTCCCACTAGTCTATCATCATGTATCAAAGCTTACAAGTTGGGGCCAGTTTTGTGGTGTAGTGGAAAAAGCCACCACTCATGATTCCTTCTAATGTGCCTGGGAAAACAGTGAAAGCCACCCATCTGTAAGATCCAGATGAGGCTTCTGAGTCTTGGTTTGCAATGCCCAGAATTGGGCAGGGCTCAAACATCTGGAGAATGAACAACAGATGAAAGAACTCCCTCCCTTTCCCTCTATAGCTAACTTACAAAATAACTAAATGAATTGTTTTAAAATAGCCTAAGGAGAGCCCGGTGCAATAACATAGTGGTTAAATCCTCGCCTTGAACAGCCAAGGGATCCCACATGGGTGCCAGTTCTAATCCTGGCAGCCACACTTCCCATCCAGCTCCCTGGGAAAGCAGCCAAGGACGGCCCAAAGCTTTGGGACCCTGCACCCGCATGGGAGACCCAGAAGAGGCTCCTGGCTTCAGACTGGTTCAGATCCAGCCGTTGCAGCAGCTTGGGAAGTGAACCATAGGATGGAAGATCTTCGTCTCTGTCTCTCCTCTTCTCTGTACATCTGACTTTCCAATAAAAATAAATAATCTTAAAAAAAAAAGGAAAAGAAATTTTAAAAAAGCCCAAGGATTGTGGAACAGCAACATAAATGAAAGATGCTACTTACTAAATTATCTTTTTCTAAATTTAAGTCCCAGGGTATATGAATGTTTAAATGTGTTCCTAAAAAGCTGAAAGTATATGCATTTGGAAATCTATATATTATAAAGTGCAGCAAGAATACAAAGTAGGGACCAGTGTTGCGGCACAATGCATTAAGCTGTTTGTGACATAAGCATCCATATCTGAGTGCGGGCTCAAGTTCCAGCTGCTCTGCTTCCGATTCAACACCTTGCTGATCTGTTTAGGAGGGCAGCAAATGGCCCAATTACCTGGGGCTCAGCCATCCATATGGGAAACCTAGATGGAGTTTCAGGTTCCTGGCTTCTGATTAGTCTTTTTAGGTCATTTGGGAAGTGAACAAGCAAATGCAAGCACCTTCTGTAGCTCTACCCCATCCCCTTCTTACTTTTTCAGGCTGCCTTTCAAACAATCCTTAAAAAAAAAAAAAAAGAGTATAAAGCATTTCATCTCTGTATCACAATGTTTTTTAAACATTAATTTATTTGAAAAGCAGAGTTACAGAGAACATGCAGGCGGTTGAGAGAGAGTATTGTCCATCTACTGGTTCACTCCCAAAAGGCCACAATGGCTGGAGGTGGGGCAGACCAAAGCCAGGACATTCTTCCGAGTCTTCCATTGTGGTGCAGGGGCCCAAGGACTTGGGCCATCCAATGTTATTTTCCCATGCATATCAGCAGGGAGCTAGATCAAAAGTAGAGCAGCTGGACTCAAACTGCACCCACTTGGGATGCCAGTGTCGAAAAGTTGTGGGTCTATCTGCTATACCACAGCTTCAGCCCTGATACTACAAATTATTGACTATAGCATTTTAAATTACAATTTCACAGCTAATATTAAAAGATGAGATAGCACAGAATACCTCAACAATAGCAGCAATCATCACATTTAAATATAAGAAAAGACACCTTCCGAGTCACCTTGGAATGCTGAGTAGGTAGTCTAAGGTGACACTCAGCTCATCCATATTTGTCTGTTCAAGGCATAATGGAATTGTCAGAATCAGGCCACTTCGTCTGTCCTTTCCTCCTAGTAGAGAAAACATAGATCCATAATGTAATAGACACCAAAACATCATTCGAATAATCTGTGTTTGAATCCAGTTTTACTAACACAATTACAAGTTTCACTTATTTTACCTAGAATATAGGTTCTATGGTGTTTAAAAAGATTTACTTATCTACTTTTTTTAAATTAATTTATTATTTTTGACAATCTTGACATAATTAGGGTAAAAAGATTCAAGCACTATAGGAAGATGGTTAAGACAATTAGTTCCATATTGTTTCCTTAATATATCTGATGTAAAAGTGGATTTTAAGGGAGAAGCCCCACCCAATCTCCCATCCACCCCAGGTTCCAAATATGGGGCATACTCCAAGGGTCTTGCTCAAGTGGTTCTGATAGTTCAACAGTTCTGAATTGCTGCCACTCTCACCAGTACAAGCACAATGCGTTTGTGGGAGATTCCAATGATCGACATAGTCCATCATAGCATCACCGTTTGCCCAGTATTTTCATTGCCAACATATAGCTGAGGTGGTTGATTGACCTTTTTCTGTCCTCTGTCATTTGATGGTTAGCGTTCTGAGTCCGAAAGCTCAATTGGTGGGATCCCCAAAGAAATTTTGTCTGAGGTGTTCCCAGACTAGACTCTTGTATGTGTTAGCAAGCACAGGGCCCAGTATAGTCCATTGCCCTGATCAGCTGGTGGTTGCAGTTGCTGGGTTGGTTCTGTTTCCATCACTGTCTTCCTCTGGAACCAATGGGAGTTTGCAGGCCAGCCTGGTTCTTCCCAGTGCATACTCGGCCCTCAGACAGATCAGTGGGAGCTGCAGCCTAGCTGGAGCGCCCCACAATAACCCCAACCAGGCCCACCCTCAACCCTGGCTTGCTAGTATGTGTGGCAGACTAGTCCAGTCTGTCCCACATTCTCTTCTGCTCTCATACATGTCAATGGGTATTAAAACCTTGTTCCATCTCACCAGCTCAACTGTCCAGCCTTCACAGTTGTTGCTGGGTGTCTGTCTAGCCACCCCAGCCCCTGTCCTAGTTTTCATGCCCTCCCGTGGGGGGTGGTAACCCAAGAGGGATGAGCCCACTATTTCCCTCCCAGGCCATTCCCAATCCCACATTATGCACTCTCCAGGTGGTTCTGTGGTTTAACTTGACAGAACTAGCCCCCAGTGCCAGCTTCTACCAGCTGATGTGGCTAAGCCCAAACAACCCTCACCCACTCTAATTGTAGACTGCACCAGTAGGAATAATCAGCCCAGCTTGGCTTTTCCCTGATCTGGTCCATGGGAGGTGCACAGGTGTCGTAGCCATGCCTAGTCTGGTCTGCCCCCATCCCAGCTCATGCCCTCCAGGGGGAGTAGCTGTCCAGCAAGGGAACCACCCCTTATTTCCCTGCCAGTTCTGCCCGTCCCTTTCTAGTTTTCACGTGTGCTGGTTGAGTGCTGCGGTCACATCTGGCTCAGGCAACCTCACCTTGGCATTCTGTGTTGTGTACTGCTTTTGTCACAACTGAACCTGATTCAACCCACACTCTGTTCTGGCATTTGGATTTGCCAGTGGATGACGTGAACTGATTCAGCCTGGTCTGCCCCCAACCCATGCCAAATGTATGCCAGTGGGACACTTTCCATGACCTCTTGGCTGTTTCCTTCCATGCTTCTTGTGTAAACCTGCAGGGTCTGTGTCCTGCCAGAGGACTTGCCCAGGCTCCTCCATCAGAACCCCTCCAAGTGTCAGCTTTCATACATACCAGTGGGTCCATGAGCCAGTACTACTGAGTTCGCCTCCTGTCCTAGCAGGAACAGTGGCTTTTCCTAACTGGCCTTCAACCCATTCTGGTTCTTGCTGTAGGATATTTCAGCCCGGCCACGGCTCGTGCATACCCACATACAGCTGATATATGGCTCAGTTGGGGTTGAGCCCTAGCCTAGTCTGTCTCACATCTACCCTGGTCCTCCAGAACACCAGAAGGTGTTGCAGTCTGGCCCGGCCTGGTGCGTCAAGTCCCAGTCCACACTTGTGCCAAGGGAGACTACAACTGTATCCTGACCAGAATGCAGCCCCATTCCAGCTTGTGCGCCCCTTGGTGGGAACCTCCACCCAGCTAGGGTGTCCCATTAGCCCCCCAACCGGGCCTGTTCCCAGCCATAGATTGCACACATGCCAGTGGTTGCTCTGACTCAGCTTGGCACAGCCCATCACATGTCGCAACCCCTGCCTTAGACACTGTGGCTCAGCATCTGTGGCTCATGCAGACCAGTTGATGCAAAAACCTAGCTGAGCATGTCCTGTACTCCACTCTGGTTTCCAATTTTACTTGTGGGCTAAGGTTTGCTCAGTACTGCCCGGTGCACCTGTTCCATCGTCTTTTCATATACTGATGGGCCGTTGGTGCTACTTTGCCCAGCCTGTCCAACCCCCAGGTCTGGACCACCTATTCACCAGTGGGAGCTATGACTCGCCAGGGGAGCTTCCCAAGTTTCTTCCCCTGATTCCCCCAGATCCAGTTCTCATACATGCCACTGGGCTTTAGGCCAGTGCCTGGAGCAGTCCGGCCCTCCCCTTGACTTTGCATGAACTGGTCAATGTTGTAGTCCGGCCCACCCCAAACCCCACTCAGGATGCACACTCAAGCGCCGCTGCCCCGACTAGTCCAGACTGCCATCAGTTCTCCAATTTGTGGTCAATGCCAGGCTCCCCAGTCACACCTAGCTTAGTCCACCACTCCATCTTTTGAAGTAACCTGTGGGGCTAGAATTTCCATAGGGTTTAGCCCACACTCCCCCCACAGAATCTTCCCCCGGATATGGTTCTCTAGTGTGTTTGTTAATGTCATGGCCCTGCTTAATGTGACCAGTCTCCGCTGGGTCAGTTATGTTTCCAACCCTGTCATCCACTTGGACCAATGGGTATTGTGGTCCAGCTTGATCCTACCCACTTCATACTCGGTCCTCACGCAAACCAGTAGGAACTGTAGCCCAGCTGGGGAGACTCCCCATAACCCCCACCAGGCCTGTTCCCTAGTTCCCATGCTTGCAAGTATGTACCGCAGGCTTGTTCAGTCTGTCCCTCCTCCCATTAAGCATTGAAGCTTAGTTCGACCCAACCAGCCCACTATCCAGTCCACACACATACTGGCAGGTGCCCTTCTGTTTAGCAACTCTGCCCCTGTCCTGGTTTTCTTGCTCTCCAGTGGGAGTAGTTAGCCACGAGGGAGGTGCCCATTATCTCCCTACTAGGCCACTCCAACTTCTGGATTATGCATTCTCCAGGTGGTTCTGGTATTTAACTTAACAGAATTTGCCCCGGTGCCAGTCTCTGCCATCTGATGATGTGGCAAAGCCCTACCAACCCTTGCCTACTCTAATTTTGCTTGCACCATTCGGAACAGTCAGACCAATCAGGCCCTTCCCTGATCTAGTTCACATGAGGCCAACAGGTGTTCCCCTCACCTGTCTCAGCCTTTGCCTTGAATGCTGTGGCATAGTATCCCTGCCTCCTGTAGACCAGTTATTGTAAGAGCCTGGGTTGGAATGACATGTGCTTCATCCTGATTTCTATTCTTTTTATTTTGAATTGAAATTTGTTTGGCCCTGCCCAGTCTGCCCCCTTCCAGTTGCAGCTAGCCTACTCCACATCCTGTTTTAGGATGCTCCTTCAAATGTTGCTGCCTTGACCTGCCCAGAATGCCATTGGTTCCTTTACCCATAAGTGATGGCAGGTGCCATGGTCACTCCTAGCTTAGTCCCTCGCCACCGCAGCCTGAGAACTAACCTGCGAGGTTAGGCCCACACTTCCCCCATAGAGCTCACTCTAGGACCAAATTCCCTCATGTGCTGGTAAGTGTCTTGACCCTGCCAAATGTGACCAGTCCCCTGTTCCACCACCCAGTCATGTGATGGTGCCCAGCTAGACAGGCCCCCATCCAGAGCTTTGGTGTGGACCAGTGTGTGGCAGTCAGTGAACTCTATGCTAATAGCCAATCTCAGGATTCCTAATTTAGCTGGTGTTTCAGTCTGGCTCAAATAGATGTTATGGGCGCTCCCCTCCAAACCCTCAGGTCTCAGTTCCACACTTGCCCTAAAGTTTCATGTCCCTGTTCCTCGGAATCACCAGGGATTCATATCTCACCTACACTATCGCTGGCTTTATTCATGGGTGTCCCTAAGCAGCTATCTCATATCATAAAAACCCCAGAACTTGCCACTGGATGGCCAGCAGCAGAGCCTGGCACCATTTGGTGCACTGGCCGCCCAAAGCCAAGGACTCAGCCGCCACCTTGTGGCGGTGGCTTTGGCCTCTACTTATCTACTTATTTATTTATTTATTTGAAAGGCAGAAGAACAAGAAGGAGAAAGAGAGAAACAGAGAAACAGAGATAGCATCTTCTATGCAATGGTTACTGATTCACTCACAAATATTCCTAAGCTAAGCTAGAAATCAGGAACTCCAGCCGGCTCTCCTTCATGAGTAGCATGGGGCACTCCACCAACTTGAAAATCATATTAACAGGAAGCAGGATCACAAGCAGAGCAGCTCAAACTCCAAACAGCACTGATGTGGCAAGCTGGCGTCAGAAGGGGCAACTCAACTGGCTGAAAGCCTGAAATGCATCTGTGGCCTCTGGTTTTTACTTTTTTTTTTTCTTAAAAAAAAGTATTATAAAAAAAAGTTTGTAAAGTATACTCTCTGAATAATTCTGTTGGTTTTAAAACACTTAGGCTTTTTTTTTTTTAATCTGAAAGCACTGGATAAAACAATCAGTGATCAAGGGAGGAAGTTATGCTGCTCCCCAAAGCACGAATGCAGTCTAACCCACCATAGAACCGTCTTCAGAGGGCAAGGTTACTACTCAGGACTGCACTGAACTGCATGCATTTGCCTTTCAATACAGGATAATAAAAATAATCACCTGTGTACTTCTATGAAGAAAAGTGGGACAGAAACCCAAAGGACGACCTTTAAGATCAGTACGGTGAACAGACTCACACACTGCACTGAGGCTAGCTTTACAGAAAGCAGTAAGGCCACTGCTGACAAAAGAACAGCATTTCTCTATTGGTAGCCTTGTGCCAAAACCAGCAATTTCATCTACTCTTGGCAGAAGCAGAAATTGAAACAATCTTCTTGGAGAACAATCAGACTAAAACTAGCAGAAGTATAAGTATGTGTTCTCCTTAAGAAATTGCACTTATAAGAATCATGCTGCTTAACTTATACAACATATGCAAAGAATGTTCGCATACTTCCAATCAGGAAAGAATACAGAAAATATAAATTTCAAACCAAAGGAGAAGGAGTTTAGAAACTACATAGTGAAAAAAGAATTTAACACTGGAAAAAATCATGCCAATCTACAAATATATGTGAAATATTTTAAAAACAGGCCACTGGTGTATCCAAGACAAGTATAACAAGAACTAAACAGAACAGGAGGAAAAAGGCAAGGTACTACATCCTGCATAAAGCTAAACTTGCAGGGCTCCAGAAGCTGTTATAAAGCACATGCAGTTTTATTAAATGGCCCAAACTCCAGACAATCACTGTATCTGATGGAGCACCCCAGTAACAGACTCACAGCTGTTCCTTGCCTCATCTTAGCTGATTTAGTCTTCAGGTTAATTACTAAATGGAAATTCAAGCCTTTCTGACAGCAAAAAAATGAAACCAGCATAACTAATATTTCAGAACTTCCCAGTGTATAAAACTTAGCATAGAAAATTAAAGATAAAAGTAGGAGATGGAATGTAATAAAAACTTGTTACTTTGTCATTCAGGAACAACTGATATGCATCACTATTTTGTAGAAGTGAGGCACCCTAACATTGTCCTTGTTGGGTCATTTTAATCAAATATTGTAACAGTGAAAACTGGCCTGTCAAGCAGCAGCAGTGGCAGATAGCTTCCAAGGCTATCCATCCTGAGGAAAAGCAGTATCTTCTAAACCAAACCTTTGCAGGAAAACAGAATGCTTTTCTGCTGAATTTATCAGAGAAAAGAAGTTCAAAGAAGTTTACACATCAAACACTCTCAACTCTGAGAAGAAAACATACCTGAAAGGAAGGCGAGTTTCTTCTTCAGAATGGGTAGTATTACTGAGGCCTCCATTATACTCCAGTCCACTTCCTTCTGAAAACACAAAAAGTTAAACTCAACGACAAATGAACAATCAGTCCACAAAGCAGATACTGGCTTCGCTCACTTTCTCTACTTGAGAACTACTCATGTTTTGAGTCAATTCTTTTTTGTGGAGCTGCCCTGTGCACTGTAAAATAGTTAGGAGCACTCCTGGTCTCTACTACCTAAATACCAATAGCACCTCCCCCTTCCAGATGTGACAACAGAAACACCTCTGGACATTGTACAATATCCTGTGATGGGCCCAGCTGCAGCTACCTGAGAGTCACTGCCTTAATCTGGTTTCCACAACAAAACTCAACCGATGAGAACACCATTTGGTACACAGGAGTCAATCAAACAGCCAATCAATCTTCTACTATTTTCCTACTTACATATTTTAATTCCAAATATTTCACTCTTTCTATATCACTTTTTTCTGACCTTTCATGTTTTTGCTCCCCTTTATCATATGATAACACACCCTGTTCTCATTTTTACTCCAAGGTATTTTCTAATACACTTTCAGCTTTAGTCCTGAGTGTCCACTGTCTTCATCTTTCCACACTTTATAATTTCAAATTGTGCACAGAAAAATATGATTAGCCCGGTTTGCCTTTTTGCAGTAGTTCACAATTCCTCTTATTGTTTTGCTAATCCATGATCTACCTAGGCACAGCCAAGGAATATAGCTAATCATAAAACTGAACTTCATATTTAATAGCAAAGTCTTAATGAGGACTTTACCAGGGTGGACATTCAGAAGTGTGGCCAGCCCAGTGTACACCCTCAAAGCAGAGTTTCCTACAGAGTAGAATCTTGACAACAAAACAAGAAAATCAAGCCTTATTATATTATTCTCTTAAAATTTTATGTCAGAGATTTTTCCATCATGCTTTATCACTTCTTTCCTTACAAATCTGACAACCCCCTGCCATCACAAAATAGGACACTTTCTTTGAGTATGCCATGAAATTTTATTGTATGCAGTAAAAATATACTCCATCAGTGCAGAAAACATGATCCTTTATATAAAAGTATATTATAGATTCTCCAACCACTTGCTACAAACCTTACACATACGAGAGGACACAGTGTGACTAGCTGAAGCTAAAAACTTGTCATAGCCTTGCACCGCCGAAAATGTTGCCTTTTAAAAATATATTTATTTACTTACTACAAAAAAAAGAGTAACAGAGGAGAGAAGGAGAGACAGATCTTCCATCTACCATTTCACATACCAAGTACATGTAATAGATGTGGCTGGGCGAGGCTGAAGCCAGGAGATGGAAATACTATCCAGGTCTCTTACATAAATGGCAGGAAAACAAGTGCTTGAGCCATCTACTGCCTCCCAGGGGCATGAACAAGAAGCTGGATCGGAAAGGGACACAGGGATCAGTGGGGCCTTGCGACGTAATGGGTGACACCAATATCTCATATGAGTACTGGTTTGATCTCAGCTGCTTCTCTTCCAATTCAATTCCAAGTTAATGTTCCTACAAAAACAGCAGAAGACAACCTAATTGCTTGGGTCCCTGCAATCCATGTGGGAAAACTGGCTGGAGTTCCAGGCTCTTGCTGGAGCCATTCTGGGGTGTGAACCAGCAGAAGATATCTTCGCGTCCCTCTCTCTCTCCTCTGTTTCTGGATCTCTAGATATCTTTGCCATTCCAATAAACTTAAAGCAAGTCTTAAAAGGAAGACAGACTTTGATTCCAGACACTCCAAACTATCGTGCAGACATGCAAATGGCAGTATTTGAACCTGCAGAACCACAACACCCACACCCAATGTTATCTTTAAAATAAATCCAAAGGGTAAGTGAAAAAAGCAATACAATCTTAAAATAATCATATAATGGCTAATTAAACATGACTAATTAAACCCAATTACTATTCAACAGGTTTTGTATAAATTTTATAAAACTATTATTTGCACCTGTCCATGACAAGCTGTCAACTAAAATGATAAATTATTGCCAAGTGTTATTCCTTATATATGTTGACAAGCCGTTCATTTTTGTTCTACAGAAGTCCAGCTAATAGACAAGTACAGATGCTCTTTGACTTATAACTAGGCAACATAAGGATCAACTCATCACTGGTTGAAAACATTTCTTTAAAAATACATTCAATCCATCTAACATGGCAAACACCAACCCAGCATAGTGCGGTTTAGCAACAAGACACTTGTAGAACATCCATGGTTCACTCTCATCACAAGGCTGACTGGCAGCCATGGCTGGCGTCCCAAGGCCAACACAACATATTACATGTCCCACACCTCGAAAAAAAATCACTAGCTTTAGTTTTCACTAAGAGCGTATTTACTGCTTTTATATCATCCTATAGACAAATATCCAAGTTGAACTATCATAAGTTAAAGACTGTCGATAGTAATAAGGAGAGAAAAAGTTCACAATTTCGTATCTTCTCTGTAAACCCACTAGTACTCCAAGCTTCCAGATCAATATTTTGACCTGTTGTTGTCAAAAAGAATGAAGGAAAATTTAGATTTACATCTTGGATCCCTTCTCTTCAATCAGCTTGTCAGGGACATAATCTCAAAGTCGGCTAATAACAGTAAGTTGATTAGGATAATCAACATTTACTGTTTAGTACAATCCATGTGCTGTTTTAAATAATTTCTTTATATCAATCATATTTAATCTTCACAACATTTCTATGAATTACTATTATTATCCCAATTTTTAAGAAAAGTTAACAGGCTCAGAGAGGCCAGATATTAACCCAACATTAGACAGCTAATAATTAATGGACACTCAGACCATCCAGTTTCACATCACAGTATAAACCTATCAATAAAACAGCTCTGAAATAAATCCTGTGGCTCCTGGCCAACTCAACAACATGGAACACTAGATAATAAGCAAAACTAAAATATCTAGGATATATGTGTCTGCTTCCAATCTGGCATATTATAGGCATTTGGGAAGTGAACTAGCAGACGGAAGTGCTCTGTCTCTATAGTTCTGCCTTCCAATATACGAACAACATGATCATCATAACAGATTCGCCTTTGAGCTGATGTTGTGGCTTAGTGGTAAAGTCGCAACCTGCAATGCCAATATCCCATATGGCCACCAGTTTGTGCCCTGGCTGCTTCACTTTTAATCCAACTCCCTGCTAATGACTTGAGGAAAGCAGTCAAAGATGACAGAAGTGTGAGGGCCCCTGCCATTCCTATGGGAAACCAAGCGAAGCTCCGGCTTTGACCTGGCCAGCCCTGGCTACAGCAGCCACCTAGGGAGGGAAAGACCAGAAGGAAGACCCAATCTCTGTCTTTCTATAACTCTCTCTGAAGCTTTGATTTCCAAAATAAATAAATCTTAAAAAAAAAAAAAAGAAGAAGAAGAAGAAGGTTTTACCAAAGGACTCCTTGAAAACTAAAAGCAGGAACCTTTTGTCCAGGCTGCCCATGGAATGTTCCCACAAAGAATTCCAATTAATGGAAGGAATACAGATACAGGTGCTACCAACTCGCACAAACAGAAGCAGCTTACAAATGAGATTCGATATTACACACTCAAATTCCAGACTGTGTTTACTTTCTTTCAGATTTTTAAGCCCATTTCTCCATCTTAATCAATTGTGTAAATGATATAATATCCTTCCAATGAATCTTTTCTCTGCTTATGCTGGATAAATATTTGAGTTTATAGGAAAATTTGATTGGAACAGGAAGCAAAAGTATAATTCAAAGTTCAGAATAAACACTTATTTTAAAAAAATATTCTGAATAAAAATTCCCATCAATATGTGCAGGTTTTAACCCTTGCCACAGTAAAATGCAATTACATAAAAGCCAGGAGACCAGAAAGCTACAGGTGACCTCTGCATCAAACACACATATACATAAATAGAAAAACAGCTTCAGTCTTGATTTAGATTCACTCTGGACAACTGTGACATCTAGAAGCAATCTGCCACTTTAGTACTGTCTCCTCTATCCAGTTTGGAAAAATACTAACTTGTTTTTCATCTAACAACTTTTTGTTAGTTTATTCTTTATAAATAGACTGAAAGTGATGAAAAAGTAGCCACAAAAAAATACACAGGTTTTTATTGTATGGGCCAAGATCAAATGAACTGATGCAAAAAATGCAGAGTAATCTGAGGTAGAAACAATGGTAGTCAATTCTTATCTCCTCCTTCCAAAAATAAGACTCCTTCTATCACTGTCCTCACTGCTACCACAAAAAGATGGGAAATCAAAAATGTATACCGTACCACTGCTTGCAAATTAAGTTTAGTTTTTCCAAGAGTTGTTTGCTTTAAATTTTCTTCAGCATGGCTATAAAACATTAAAAAATAAACCTGCCTCTTATCCTACTACCTTTTGCAACAGTTAAAATATTTAATGTATAATACATAATTATAACACAAAATATCGTCTTGCCAAATACTACCAATCACCTTATTCACAATAAAATACTAAGTGGCACATATATACTACTTCATGTTCTCTAATGGAATGCGAATCATTATTTTGTAAATTGAAAGGAGGGAGTGTTCTTTACCCTTAGTCTGTCTAAATGGATCATATTCACTCAGAATGAGACCAGGAATGGGCATTTACCTAGCATGAAACAAAAATGACAAGCAAAATGTGTTTTTAGAAAAACTTTGCGTGCTCACTTCAGCAGCACATATACTAAAATTGGAACGATATAGAAAAACTTCCCAAGCAAAGCAAGTTAAGAAAAAAAAATAAGCACAACAAACTTCTGGCTGTACTTACGGCTTTATTTCATATAAGGTCATCTAAAACAGGACCATTTTAAAATCACAGTTCATTCAACACACACAAAAAAGCATAAAGCCAGAGCCTGCAGCATTTGAGATTCCTTGGAGACAGGTGCCTATAAAGGAAGACGCAGCCATGTCTGCATTTTACCTTCAACCAAAAGCAAAAAGCAGCCTATTCTGTTGTCCATTATCTTATTTAAATTAATATCCGGATACTTTTCTAGGAGCAAAATAAATCTT